AAGTTTTTAAATTAACAACATTTGTTTTCCGAGAATCACGTGACAGTAAAATCGATCCTGCGCCCTGTCAAAATTCAGTAGTCAGAATCAGATCAATTTTATACCAATCGATTCGTCTCATCGAGACGAATCGAATGATATAAAATTCAACCGATTCCGATCACTAGATCACAAGATGTCATAATTTAAACAAATTTAAGTTTATTATTAAATATATATACAATCTTTAGTGAAGAATAACTTTCGATCTACCAGTCCGTTTTTGATGATTTTACCATCAAAATAACCGGCTCGACGAGACGATTCTAATGAGCCCCAAAATCATTATAAATCTAACTTATTTTAATAAAATTAAATAAGAAATCTATAACTTTTTATAAAAAATCTTTCATTCAGTAATTATCTCGGGATCCTGCGACTGGATTTTAATGATTTTGGGCCCATTAGAATCGCCTCATTGAGACGGTCATTTTGGTGGTAAAATCATCCAAAATGACCTGGCGGATCAATATAAAACATTGGCCACAACACCTCCGCCTACCAAATTTTTTTGGTTTTATATATATATAATTGTTAATTAATTATATCTTTGATTTAGCAAGTAGAATTAGGTAATTCTATTATTATTTGATTCTTCTTAATAAGACAAATCTATGATACCGAAATTATTTAATTCTAATTACTAGATTATATCCATGCACTTAAGATATATATATATATATATATATAGAGGACGCATTTATGAAAAACACACTTAAGGAGATCTCTCTGCATTTCATTTGTTATTAAACTATGTACTAGTTAACAAGCGATTTAGTTAATAAAGGTTATTTATTATATATATGTCTTTTGTTTAACAACTATATATATTTTTTTTTTTACTTCGAACTCATTTTTTATTAGCCAATCAGATTTTGTAACCACGTCTTATAGTTGTCATATTTTTCATATGTTGAAAATAAACCGGTTCTAACTCTCATTTTAAATCCGGTTTTTGATTTTCAAAAATGTGTAATTATGAGTCATGTAGCGATAGTACAGTAGTATTGAATGTATCAAAAGACCACTAAAAATTGTGATGCAGCATAAGATATCCACTTTTTTTATTAATAAAATTTATAATAAAAAAAACATTAGCCAATCCAAATTAAGTAAATTTTTAAAACTTATATTAAAGCCAAATTTCAAAAAGCCTGTATATTTTAAACGGTTATAACTTCTTAAAAACTAAAAATCCCTCTTAGATTTATTGTTACGTTAACTTGTTTTAAAAAATTTAAATTTTACTATATAAAAACTGGATATCTTATTCTCTCCCGTACTGTACAAATATCCACATAGTCTTCAACCATCGATGTTAGATTAGTAATAAGTTGAAAATTTTGGTTTATACCGATAATTTTTTGCATACTTACAATTAAAGTGTAGTTTCGTTTGAATCGTTAATTAGCATTACTACGGTTAAGAAATCTCATGTTAAAGGTCCAGATCAAAATGCATGCTTTAATCAGGTTTCTCGACGAAGCAAAACAAAAAAAGTGAAAAACTTGGAAAAATATAAAATACAGCAGTCTGAACCTACCTTGGAAATATTAATAAAAAGTCTGAGAGGTAATCTTATATATATAGTATAAATAACTCTAATTTAAAGTGGAATTTAAAGTGGAATTTAAAGTGGTCTTTAAAAATATTGAGTCAGCTAAATGATTATTTACTATTTTTAAAGATTAGGTTCAGGGGCATGCTTTTTAGTACAAACAACTTCAAGCACTAAAAATGGGAATTTTGATAAAGAGTTGAATTTAATGACAAAATATCACATAGCGTAATGTTTAGGAATTTTCAGGAACTTAATGAATTTCTTTCACGAATCAGTAAATTTTATTTTACATTATCAATGCACATTTTTGATAGTCATTAACATGCATTACTGCATTAATGAGCATATACTCAATGTGCGCATTTCATTCATGTTCATGAACGGATTTATTTGGTCAGAATAATGGTCGAAACTATTAAGAAATCTTTTAAACTTTATTGTCCGGTGCGTAGCATTCATGTTAATCGTGCCCGTCTGTCTGTCCGTAAAATACAGTTATAACAAATTATTGAGCTAAAATAATTAGTGTTGAAAGTGTTGAATTTGTGACACTTTTTATCAATTAAATAAATGTAAATTAAAATCAGTATAACCCAACATACGTCAAGTTATAATTATACGTATATAGGAACTAAAAGACATCTCGTTATTATGAATGTCATACCATAATGTAATTCCTCGAACGATTGTTTTCAATATAATGTATCGAAAAATAATTATCGATTTTACATTATGAGTCAGATTCCAAATAAATATATGTTTTTCAATCCTTATGTAGAACTTGATTTAACCATTGCTGAGTGAGTCATTACTAATTTCCATCAAATATAATATGCATTTTGAAACATGATAAACCTATAATGCATTAATAAAGCTCGTAAGATAATGTCTACAAATTTTAATCTACACATAAAAGAAACAAGTGTATCAAAATTATATAAATAATTTGCTACGTATCGGTATGAAAAAAACTGTACGTATTCAAATTACCTAATATGAATTCAGACGTAATTTAAATAAGGTTTATCCAATAATAAATTTGGTAGATAGTAAGAAAGGATTTACAACGACAATGAGATTTTATCCCTTAAAGAGGATTATCAAATTTCTCACGACACTTTATGCATATTCATTGTATTTGTGCAAATTTCTCAGCGAAATGAAAGCGTTTGTACTTTTACATTATTTCGTGGAACGTAAAACATCATACAATATTATATACAATATTATATACAATATTTTATACATTATTATATACAATATTATATACAATATTATAATAGCGATAGATGTCAAATTTATTTGTTTGATTTTGTAATAACGATAAAGTTAAACAAGTGTGATAACGATAAATCTTCTTAATAGTGTATAATTACAAATCGATAGGGTGTATACGGTAAATGCGTGTAACTCTAATTTTTTGGCATATAGGAAAAATACGTAAATAGGCACATACGTACGTATACGTACAAAATAGAATTCTTTAGTGGAATGACTTACGAATCAAAATTGCTTGAAAGTTCTGGATCACTGTATTACCAATCTTAAGATCCTCAATCTAGTCTTGCCTAAAAAAAATGTCATTTACCAAAACGTGAGGTCATCAGACTGCAAAATTTAAAATTAAGATCGATTTATGTATTCCAAACCACTTTCCTTAAATATCTTGGCTATTGAAAATAAAGACACCTTAATATTTATATTATACTAACCGGTTGATTTTTTTCTTTCTATTTTCATCAAAGAAAATCCCAAATCTATATATATGTTGTTACTTTTGTTTAAATGACTTATTACTTTCATAAACATCATAGAAAGATTAAATAAACTTGAGATTATCTTTGGAATTAATTTTAGTATTTAAGTATTTAATAAAATTGGATTTGATGATAATCATACGGTATCGTTACACATTCGTGATTAACTTTGAAACAAAATTTTTATATAAAGCCTAAATGTGTAATTTGTCACTTACTCGGACGAAATTTATTTCGTCTTTTAGAATTTGGGGTTGGTTGATGATTTAGGAGTGAGCGTAGGTTTTTTTTTAAAAATATCTTGCATTAGGAGTGTCTATCAGGGGATCTGTGGTAGAAATTCTATTGCATCATAAATATAATTGTATAGTATATATATAGGTATTTCTTATCTATAACTTTATATAGGTATTTTATATATATAACTTTATTAATATGGCTTTTTATATAACAACTTTTTTTAGATCAAGTTAATTTCTGCCACAGACTCCTGAGTACCATATACATGCAAGCTAATTTTTTTTTTTTTTTGGTTAAGGTTGGGTTTTTAACGAAGAAAAAAATAATAAAAAAAAAAAAAAAAAAAAAAAAAAAAAAAGAAAAAAAAACAGCCATGTGAGTATTTATTTATTAACCTTAAAATATGCTCTTGAATATATCCAGATTAAACTCACTTGCTTCATATTTGCTGCAATCACCTTATATATAATATTACGCCTATACCATTCCACCTTCCTTATTTGACTCGTTCACGTGATTAAGTGTCCTTCAATTGTTAAATAATATATATAATCTGAGAAAGGGAATTAAAAAGTTACTTCACTTAATAAATGGCTGAAGCGGCGACAGCTCGAAAAAGATTATTTCATAAAAGCGATGAACTCAAATTTTGTATAGATTGTAGAAAAGAAAGATGTAGTTTTGGTTGGTGTAAGGATTGCGAAACCTCATATATGATTTCCAATTTCAAAACTTGGACAAGCTTTAATGAACACATTGACAAGTTAATTCAACGTACTCAATTAAATGCCACTCAAACATGTGATTACTTGGAATTTATTGATTACAGCCAATTCGATATGATTAAATATGTTGCTAGAGGTGGCTTCTCAACAGTTTATAAAGCAAAATGGCTGGAAGGTCCAAGGTGGAACTGGGATGAAGATGATCAGGGATGGGAGCGTAACGGTCCTATTGACGTCGCTTTGAAACGTTTAGACAATTCTCAAAACATACATTTGGATTTTTTGGTACAGGTATTTATTCTTTATCGTTTTTATCGTTAGGAAAATCTTCGCACGGGCACGAGATGTGATGCTAAATATCATTCACATTAAAAATATCATGAAAAATATTAGTAACGCGTCTAACATGTCACATTTAACTAGTCATTCCATGTAACTATTTAGTATCACGCCCCTTAATGCCCATGTGAAGACATTCCTGTATCTCAACTATAAATTTATCGTACAGTTTAATTTATATAACGATAATGACATTTAAACCTTTTTATTTTGATTTATAAGATAGAAGAACATTGTAAATGTTTACAAAGTGGTTACCTTGCCGATTGTTTCGGAATAACACGTGATTCAACCGGTTGTATTATGTTTGTAATGCGTTTTTATGATAATGGAAATATATATGAATTCCTTGATAAAGTAAAAGGTATAATAACGTGGAGAGATATAATAGACATGCTTTGGGGTGTGGCTAGTGGCCTAGATAAAATCCACTCCGAAAAACGTTTCCATTCAAATCTGCACGGTGGCAATTTGCTTATTGAAGATGAAACAATATCAACAGATGCTCGTATATCAGATGTAGGTCTTAACGGCCCTTGCGACAAACCAAGTTCAATTTCTCAATTGTACGGAGTTCTTCCATTTATAGCTCCAGAAGTTCTATGTGGCCAACAACCAAACCAATCTTCTGATATTTATAGCTTCGGCATTATCATGTGGACTTTGGCCTCTGGACTTCGACCTTGGCATGATAGACCACACGACCTCGAACTTGCAAGACTTATCTGTCACGAAAATTTACGTCCAGAGGTTGATGAAGTTATTAAAGATATTCCAAATCTGTATCGTGAATTAATGGAAAGATGTTGGGATTCAAATCCTTCAAATCGGCCGACTGCTTCAGAATTGAATAATTTATTGGGAAAATGGATCATATGTATTTGTGATGACCCAAATACTACTCCCATTTCGGAAGAGTTTTTCAACGCAGAAGAGAAAAGGTGGGATTTAATTGGAAAACAATTAAATAATAATAATTTTCCTAAAGTGGTCATCCATCCTGAAGCTGTGTACACAAGTCGTCTACTTTATTTTCCTGAATTGACGTGTTCTTGATTAGTGGTAATTCTAAACTTTCTTGGTTTTAATTTGTGATTTATTATTTTATGATTATGGGTACTTATCATATTATTAATATAGAATAAAATATGTTGAAATCTCCATCGCCGCTAAAGGTGTAGATATTTCTCGGGTCAAAAGTAGCTATTCCTTGTACAATATAAATTATTATCCATATGTTAGTGATTTTGATTGCTTGTAATTTCTACACTTCATTACGAAATTTTCCCGTTAGTTAACTCATTGATACAAATAAGAACAAATATATTACCACATCCATAACATAACACATCATATAATTTTATACTTTAAAAAAAATTTTCATTATGTAAAATTTAATCGGATCAAATATTATAGAGGATCCCTACTATAAATCATTAATTTTATTAATAGGGTCCTTTATATTACAGTCAGACCCCGATATAGTCATTCTTGTTATAGTCACAAATTATAAAAAAAAAAATTCTATTTTCATTTACCAACTATTATAAAGCATAAGAAAATTACCTTTTGTATAGGCACTATCACATTAGTCACATTGAATTTTGGTCACCAACCCGGTGATTATATTGATTATATCGAGGTCTGATTGTATATTTGATCCATTAATCATATCAAAAATAAAATTTGACTAAAAATATTGTGATCCTCTAATTTATGAAAAAAACTGCCCTATTTTACGTCTTTATACTGAAATTCAGTAATATAACACTTGAATTAGTAGTATCCTAGCCATGGCGACAAATTTTGTTGCATCCTGATTGGATGAAATTATTCAATTGTAATTATTTTTTTTTTTTCAAACTTTTAATGAAGATATATCTTCGCTCAAAATTTAGATAATTATCAAAACTGTGGCAAATTTTTTCTAAACTTTGAGCAAAGATATCTTGACACTTATTTAAAATTGTTGAAAATTTTATTTTATTCTAATTTTATATGAATGTATGATTAAAATAAAAAAATTTTATCGATTTTAAACAGTTGTTGCCAAGATATCTTGGTTAAAAGTTTGAAAAAAAAATCAATTACGATTGAATAATTTTAGTATTATTTCTATAATGATTATAAAAAATATATTTTAAAAATTATATGATCATTCTGATATAGATTAACAGTTAGAACGCGGGTCCGTAGACAATAGTCTACAGATTCGAATCCGGCTGTGCATGCTCTCCATGCTCGTAATGAGTTGAAATCAATATTGGCCGATTAATTTAGTTATTGTCGCGGATCATAATGATATCGGATTAAAATGAAATTTGGGGTTTCTATTTAACCTCCTAAACCCACTTATACTTATTTACTATAAATTCTACTCCTAAAGCTGATCCTATTCCCAAAAATTGCTAAAAAAATACACACCAAAAATTTTGAAGGTTTAGGTATTTTAATTTTAATCGGTTTAATGAATTTAATTTAAAAACAAGTAATACTTATTTAATCAAAATATAAAAACATATAAGAATTTCTCAAGTCTAATTCTCAGAAAATGAAGTAATATCGAAACATAACCAAGATACCAAATTTTAATACGTATTATATCTTTCTAACTTAATATAGTAACACTTTTATATTATTGATTATATATTTTAAAATTGAAAGTATTTTATAAAATCTGGAAGCTCTGACTCTAATTTTAATATTTAGTACTATTTGAGTGCTGCCAAGGAAAAACCTTTCATTGGGCTTTCAATGTCCAGTTTGTTTACCGTGTGTCGTATAGTGAAAACCAACCGCCCTAGCATACCCCTAAAAAAAGTTACGAAACTGAGTTTAAATTTTCCGAACAAAAGTTTCATTTTCGAAATTACAGGAATTACAAGCCATATTCTCTCTTACGCTTTACTGAATAGTAGAAAAATTATATTGAAAATTTATATACACTACAATTTGAATATAAAATTCGGCTAAGTTGATTATATATGTGTTAATTGTTTCGCTATAATGAATTTGCAGAATAAATTCATACGTTTTAATAATTGTATTAGCTATGTTGACAAATTATTTACATTATTCGTAAATGTAAAAGAAATAGCTATAGTAATTTATTCCCAATAAAATGTATTTTTATTTCTTCCCACCCAAGTTTTTTTTTGTTTTTTTGCATTTTCAAACCCTTTTAAGTCATTAACCATTTGTTCAATTGGGTTAAAATTTGATTTGATATTTTTTAACTATTTTTTTTGCTAAAGAAGCTTAGACAGCTTAGAAATAAAAGTATTTGCCTATATAAATTTTAACTATTTTTTTTGCTAAAGAAGCTTAGACAGCTTAGAAATAAAAGTATTTGCCTATATAAATTTTAACTATTTTTTTTTGCTAAAGAAGCTTAGACAGCTTAGAAATAAAAGTAGTTGCCTATAAATTTTAATCACTTTTTTGTTGAGGAAGCTCAGATGGCTTAGAAATAAAAGTATTTGCCTATATAAATTTTATTTTTTTTTTATTTTTTTTTTATTTTTTTTTTAAATATTAAGGTGACCACTTGGGGGTCTGGCACATTTTATTTGCAATCTG